ATTCGCCGTTTCCAGCACCGATCGACTTTCGTCGATCCTTCGACTTTCGTCGGAATTTAAAGCGTAACTTACCTGACTTACCTCGCTTACCTGATGTCCCGGAGTTAGTCACATGTCGCTGCTTTTGAACCTGATGAAGCTCCCGTCGATGACTCCTCATGGCCTCGTCGCCTTATCCCGCCACCGAACAGCTCATCCAAACCTGAAACACTCAGTAAACGTGTTAGAACGTTCACCCCGATAAGACTCGAACCGTAGTCCTATCCCGCATCGCCCGACCGACGAATGCTACCCTCGGTTGTATGACTCTCTAGACCGTCTAACTAATCCTCCTAGTAAAGTCCAAGACTATACCCGCTAGCTAACCCGAAGATTATACCCGACGTCTACCCGTCTCCTAAGTCTATCCCGACTTCCCCCGAGACTACCCTGAGTCATACTACCGAAACCTGCTAGATACCTAGCCCGGATCCCCGTGAAGCCCATACTACCTATAGGTATACGACTTCTACCCTCGGACCCTAACCTGCCAACTAGAATTGTCTTACGGTTTTGTCCCGTGAAGACGCTCCTAGTCATCTACGATGCTCCACTGAGAATAAGAGACACGTGAGTGCACGTGCTCCACCTCGAGAGGGAGTGTCCTAGCGCCAACCTACACCGACTCTACCCGGTGACCCGACACCTCCCAGCTCACATCATCTCCTGAGCATCCTACCCGAGGAAGCTCCACCTAAATGTGGAAAACCTCACCTCCTGACCTACCACCGAGAACCGAAGCATCTTCGGTTACTCCTCCGAGGTCAACGTCCTTCTACCTCGGACTCTCCCTACCTCGTCATCCGGGACCTACAACACCTTCTTGTAGTGTCCCTACCTACCCGCGGAACAACTCACTCCACCTGGTCCTTGGCCTACTCCTGCACCCGATTTCTCGGGTTTGCCCGAGACCCCTAGTCCTTCCACCATACCCCTTTTCGGGGTATACCGAGCTAGACAATCTAACTCCATCATCCTACGATGATATAACCAGAGCCTAAAAAACGACTCAATCCGGAAGTGACTTACCCGACCCTAGAAGTGATGTAACATGACACGAGGGATGAGACCGAACCCTAGAGGACTTAACCCCTAGGTATATTTCTACCTAGCCGTGCTTGACACGCTCTAACCCTAGTCTATCGGTCCTAATCCTAGGTACGTCTCTACCTAATCAGACCTACAAGACCTAGAGAACACGACCTGACCGGACTTATCCTAGGCACTCAACCTAAACCGATCTAGCGGACCTTAAACCAAGTCTAACCGGACAACACCCTAGGTACATCTTACCTAAACGGATCTAACACACTCTAGACCAGACCTGATTGGACTTAACACAAGGTATATTTCTACCTAACCGACCTCCTAGACTCTCGCACAAACCTGATTGGACTTACCCTAGGCATAATTTTGCCTAACCGACCTATTAGACTCGAAACACAACCTACCTTAAGACCTGATTACGTCTAACCAGACCTAACTTAAGGCTAACCGGACCTGATTACGTCTAATCAGACCTACAACACCGAGTCTACATGGCCCCCAACA